GTCACACATTATTCTTGGTGTAAGTGATCCATAGGGGGTGAGAGGAAGGGGGAAGCTAGCAAAGAACTTACCTGTATTGACACAGATAGTAGGTAATAATGAATAACAAATTATTCACTATGCTATATGATGATAGGTACCTTGGAGGGGAATGAGCTAGAGTTGGGGGCTAAGCAGGGAATAAGAGGGTACACTATTAAATAGAATAGTAAGGGAGACTTCATGCCAAAATGAAACTTCAGGCAATACTTGAATAAAGATCAATTAAGCCATGTGGCATTTTTGAGCATATGATTCAAGAACAGGTATCGGCCAGTGTCATGTGCCAAGCAAAGCCAGGTATGTATGCCCAAGCAACTAGATGAGTAAAGCAGAGGGTTTAGTCAGAGAGGAACATAAGCTAAAGATCTGTGAAGGTCCCTTAAGGTCCTATGAGAATTTTGAATTTTCTCTAAGTAAAATGAGGAGTGCTTCCAGGGTTTTGATCAAATATGGACATTACCTGATTCATACTTTGAAAGGGTCATGTTGGCTGGAGAGTTGACAAAAGACTGGAAAAGAAGACGCATAGGACAAAGATCAGTTAGATGACCACTGCAGAAATTCAGGTAGAGGATGGTGGCTCTTCTCAGGCTAAGGGCAGGCATAGTGATGAAAAGGGGTCAGATTCATGATGTTTTGAAAGTAGACTTAATCAGATTTCCTATGGGACTGGTTCTGTGGTATGAGAAAAAGAATGAGCCTGAGATTTTTAGTCTCAGCAACTGGAAGGATGGAGTTGATATCAACTGAGAATGGGAAAGCTATGGTCAGAGCAGAGTGAAAAGAAAGCTCACAGTGATACCACCAAATGCTGGCAAGCATGTAGAGCAACAGGAACTCTCACTCATTGCTGGTGGGGATGCAAAATTGCACAGTCACTTCGGAAGAAAGTCTGGCAGTTTCCTACAAAACTAACATAGGTTTACCAGGCAATCCAGCAATTGAATTCCTTGGTATTTACCCAAAGGCGTTGAAAACATATCCACACAAAAACCAGTGCATGGATGTTTACAGGCAACTTTATTCACAATCACCAAAACTTGGAAGCAACCAAGATGTCCTTCAATAAGTGAGTGGATAAATAAACTGTGGTACATCCAGACAATGGAATATCATTCAACACTTAGAGCACTGTCAAGTCATGAAAAGACAAGAAACTTAGATGCATATTACTAAGTCAAAGAGGCCATTTTGTAAAGGTTACATACTGCATAACATTCTAGAAAAGACAAAGCTATGGAGACAATAGAAATATCTGTAGTTGCCAGAGGTTAGGCAGGAGGGAGGGACAATTAGTGGAGAATTTTTAGAGCAGAAACTGAAATTTTAGGGCAGTGAAACTAATTTGTATGAACTATTATGGTGGACACATGTCATTATAATTTACCTAAACCCATAAAATGTACACCAAGAATGAACCTTTATGTAAACCATGGTCTTTGGGTGATAACAAGTCGTTGTAGGTTCATCAATTATAATAAATGTGCCACTGTAGAGGGGGATGTTGATAAAGAGGGAGACTATACATATGTGAGGGCATGGGATATACAAGCGATCTCTGTACCTTGTTGTCAATTTTGCTGTGAACCTAAAACTTCTCTAAAAAAACCCCAAGATTTAGTTTTAAAAAGTTTTTAAAAGAAAGCTCAGGAGAAGTTTAAAGGTGTTGAGTCTGTGATGTCTACTAGATGTCCAGGAACAGGCTGCAAGTAGATCATTAGATAGAGGATCCCAGGATTTTTACATGGAGATACACACTAAAGTTTTGAGCTTATAATGATATTTACAACCATGCCACTGCACAAGATGACCAACAGAACATAGACAGACTGTGAAGAAATAACTGGGCTTTTATTCATTACAGTACGAAGAGAATGTTTTTTTTTTTTTAAGCCAGCATATTCAGTTAAGAATACAAAACAACAGCAACAACAACAAAAACCCAATGGTACAAAAGCTGCTGAAACGTTAAAGAAAATTTTAGATGTCATTATTGTGTTTTTAAGTTCATTAATGGTGATGGAGTTGTGAAGACAGAAACTTTCATACAAATGAGTACAGAACTACATAGGAATTGAAGTAATAGAAACAAAAGGAGAGAAAATGCTTGTAAAAGTTTAGCAATAAAGGATGAGGGAGAGCAATGGTAGAAAAGAAAATGTACTAGCTCAGAGTGAAGGGTAGTTATTTTATGAAGTACACAAACTGTATTGATGTTTTTTGTCAGATTAGGAGACTGAAGATCAGTGATGGGTGATTAGTCAAGAGATTTGATATATCAAGAACAAAACCTCTCAGAAGCTAAGACATGGGAAAGTCATAGGTGGCATGGAGGGATTGATGCTAAATTGAGGGGAGGCATCATTTCCATTTCAACACAGGCAGCCCACAAGAGATTTTAGATTTAGGAGGCAGGGATGTTGTCAAACAATATCAAATAATGATCTTCTGTTCTCTGTATAAATGTGGCAGAATATTAACAGAGACAAAAGTAATACTGGAGGAACTTCATAAAGTAAAAACCAGATTTGGCATTCTTGAGATTTTAGTGAATATATTGAACTAGGAACATCAAGATGGACAGGCAAGTAACAGAAGAGCAAAAGGGGCTGCAGGAGTAGAGGACAGCTGGAAGATTGAGGTAAGGTCCTTGACTAGGATTTGGGAAGCTTTTAAGTGACAGATCAGTAATGACAGCTCTTTGAGTATATGGACTGACCTCTTTAGAGCTAATTATTAGGACAATTCAGGATAGAAGAGAGGTCCTAGATTTTCTGGATTCTCCAACTAAACGATGTGAGGTTTGACAGTGGTGGCAACAAGGCCAATTAGTAATCAAAATATGGAGTCTTTTTTAGCCAATGGCAACAGTGGAATGTTAGAGCAGTAATTGTTGAGCGCAGGGATGTACATGGCTCTAGAGAACGTGTTTGTGACCCCAGACGGATCTGACTTTCCCCTCTATCTGCCACCAGCTTATGCTCCATGATATAATTGGCAGCCATGTGCCACTGGGCCAAGGGTTATTGGGGTAGGGTGCAAGTACACTTCCCTAATTTTTTGGATCTAGTGGTTTTGCTGTAAGGAAAGTTCCCACTAGAATCATAAATAGGAATTATGTATTCTGCTACAAATAGCCTATAACACATCATACCACTGAGTCCATATATGAATTGAAGTGTGGTTAGTGTACAAAGCAAAAATAAGATTTCAAGAAGCTCTTAGCATCTGGATGTCAGATCAAAGATTGCAGATTGGGGTATAAACAACAAAACACCTTAGAATTGTATCTCAAAAAAAAAAAAAAGAATTGTATCTCAGCTTTGCAAGTGAGGCTCTTTTTTGAGATGATGACTGAGCAAATGGAACATGGAGAATGCTGCAAAGGTTCTCTGGGCGGATAAAAATCTAAGTGGACATTGTGCAATGAGAAAGTCACCATCAATGGTGTCAATAAGATTTCCATTACTAATGAGACCTTTTATTTTTTTTCAAAGATTTATCTGAGAGGGAGGGAGGGAGGGAGGGGGAGAAAGCGGGAGAGCACACAAGCATGGGGGAGGGGCGGAGAGAGAGGGAGAAGCAGACTCCCTGCTGAACAGGGAGCCAGACGCAGGGCTCGATCCCAGGACCCCGGGATCATGACCCAAGCCTAAGGCAGACACTTAACAGACTGAGCCTCTCAGGCAACTCCCCCGCCCCCATGAGGCCTTTTAAAACTGGTCTTAGGCGGTGCCTGGGTGGCTCAGTCAATTAAGCGTCCAACTCTTCATTTCAGCTCAGGTCATGATCTCAGGGTCATGAGACTGGGCCCCATGTCAGGCTGTGTGCTCATTGGGGAGTCTGCTTGGGATTCTCTCTCCCTCTGGCCCTCATCCCAATCATGCACATGTGTGTACATCCTCTCTCTCAAATAAATAAATCTTAAAAAACAAAAACAAAAACAAACAACCCTGGGGCGCCTGGGTGGCTCAGTCATTAAGCGTCTGCCTTCGGCTCAGGTCATGATCCCAGGGTCTTGGGATCAAGCCCCGCATCGGGCTCCCTGCTCTCCGGAAGCCTGCTTCTCCCTCTGCCTGCTGCTCCCCCTGCTTGTGTTCCCTCTCTCGCTGTGTCTCTCTGTCAAATAAATAAATAAATAGTGAGAGATAGTCTCTGATATTATACTGTCCCCTTGAGGTCCTCAAGAAAGCTGTCTACCTCTCCACAATGGCAAAGCCCAACTGTTTTCAACCCACTCCACACAATGAATAAAAATCATAAGATTAAATGTGACTTAAGACCTTTATTATTGCACAAATCAGAGCAAATGTGAGGCAGACAGGTCCCACATCAGTGACTTGGGAGGCTGGAAAATCCATAAAAAATATTGCATAAGACCAACAAGGCCATGAAGATAAAACTTGCAAAATATCAGTGGTTCCTAGACTGAGTTCTTTGGGCAAAAAGTGGATCAGGTCCATGCCATAGTCAGAGAGAAGGGAATGGGAACCTCCCACCCCAGGGGTTCAGACTATGATTTCCAGCAGAGAACAGGAGAGAGCACAAACATCTGTCTTCTCTGAGCATGCTAAGGTGACATGCATGCCATGAGGAGGACCTGCTAGGTGTCAGAGGGAGATAACTTCTGCCACAATTGGCAGTGACAGAATTCTGGCAAGGTCTGAGCGGGTCAGAATATGGAATGCAGCTCCTGAAAACTCCTGATTGGAATGCATGGTAGATGGCTCCTCACAGAGGCTCTCTAGTGCCATCACACTGAACAAAGAGACAGCAAATTCCCTGAAGGTTTAAGGCCATTATCTTACGTGGAATTTCTTTTTCAGGCTGAATGGGTTTAGATCTTGGCTGAAGGTTTTTCCACATCTCCTGATTCATAAAACTGATGTGAGTCATGAAGTTTTTGGTGTTGAATCAGAGAAGACTGTTAAATGAAAACTTTCTCAGGCTGGCTGCACTCCTGAGGCCTTTTTCTAGTGTGAAGTTTATGGTGTTGAATGAGGCTATAGTTTTGGCTAAAGGATTTCCCACATTCACTGCATTTATAAGGCCTTTCCCCAGTGTGAATTCTCCGATGTAGAATGAGGCTAAAACTTTGGCTAAAGGATTTCCCACATTCACTACACTCGTAAGGCCTTGCTCCCGTGTGAACTCTCTGGTGCTGAATGAGGCTGGAGCTTTGTCTAAAGAATTTCCCACATTCACTGCACTCATATGGCCTTTCTCCAGTGTGAACTCTCCGGTGCTGAATGAGGATAGAGCTTTGGCTAAAAGACTTCCCACATTCGTCACATTCATAAGGCCTTGCTCCAGTGTGAATTCTCCGATGTTGAACAAGGCTGGAACTTTGTCTAAAGAATTTGCCACATTCAGCACATTCATAAGGCCTTGCTCCGGTGTGAATTCTCTGGTGCCGAACAAGTTTGGATTTGCATCCAAAAGCTTTCCCACATTCACTACACACATAAGGCCTTTCTCCAGTGTGAGTACGTTGGTGCTGAACAAGTTTATATTTGAACCTGAAGGCCTTTCCACATTCACTGCACTCAAAAGGCTTTTCTCCAGTGTGGACTGTCTTATGCTGAACAAATGTATGCTTGTAGCTGAAGGTTTTCCCACATTCACTGCACTCAAACAGTCCTTCTCCAGTGTGAATTCTTTGGTGCTGCACAAGTGTACGTTTGCGACAGAAGGCTTTTCCACATTCACCACATTTGTAAGAACTTTTTCTACTGTGAAAGGAACCCTCACACTTAGTACTGTTGTGTATACTCAGTACTGCTTTGGGAATGGCCTGATGCTGGAGAAGTCCCAAACTGGCCAAGAAGTCCTTTTCAACCTCACAGGTGAAAGGCTTCCCTAATGAATGACTTCTATAGGTCTTCACAAAGGAAGCCCTGTCCATGTCCTTGGTATTGGGTTTTCTCCCACTGTGCTCATTCTGGTGTTGGTGAAGAGTTGCACTGAAACAGAAGTGTTTCCCACATGCCACACATGTGTATGACTTCTCCCCAGTATGTGTTTCTTGATGCTCAGCCAGGTACAAAACATCTTTCATGACAGAAACACACATCTCACAGAAGTGAACCTTCTCAGTGGATGGATTCGGTTCTGAAGACCTGATCTGTGGCATTCTTCCCAGAAAAACATTCTGTCCAGAAGGCACCTCCTCATTCTCTACGCCACACAAACAATCTGAAAACAGAAATGCTAGTAAAGTACGTTGTCTCTGGGGACAGGTGGCAGCCACATTATAAATATGTGCCTGACATACCAAAGAATGAATACATGAGACTGTTCTCAGGATGAAGGAGTTGGGAGGCAAGATGAGGAAGGGGCTGTTTTGCAGTACTGGGATTCTAAAAGGCTCCTCTAGGAAGTAGAGAGGCCTCACAAGATGAAAGAAGTTAAGAATGTGACACAGCGGGCGCCTGGGTAGCTCAGTCGTTAAGTGTCTGCCTTCGGCTCAGGTCATGATCCCAGGGTCCTGGGATCGAGTCCCACATTGGGCTCCCTGCTCAGTGGGAAGTCTGCTTCTCCCTCTGACCTTCCTCCCTCTCATGCTCTCTCTCTACCACTCTCTCTCTCTCTCAATAAATAAAAATCTTAAAAAAAAAAAAGAATGTGACGCAGCACAGTTAAGGAGAAGCAGGCAGTTTCCAACCTACTCCTCTCAGAATGACCTCCAGGAGGGGTGTTGCTCACATGTGAGTATTATGAAGAAGTTTTTGTCCAGGAAGAGAAAAATGATTGCTAGTGAGTAGCTAGTGTTCAAGGACTATTGAGGTTAGTGCTCACCAGCTGTTAAGCATGAGCCAATGCTGGGAACACTGCAATGGCAGCAGTGGAAAGGAATGGGCAACTGATAGATGCAGGGAAGTTGCCAGCAGCCAGGGACTAGAGGTCAGAGTAAAAATGACAAACTAGTCAAGTATCAAGAATAGGGAAGAAAAGGTGAAAATGAGGTGTGGCCACTGGAAAGGGCACCAAAACACTAGTTTGAACAAGTTCCTGGTATTAGGTGAACACAGCCCTGATGTCATGTCCTGTTTCAGCTGCCAATCAGCAGGGCCAGGCCTCCTCTAGCTCCTCCTGCCATGGCAGGAGTGATATCATTCTGTGACGTGCCCAGAAGTCTCCCCCACAACCCAAATTGAGCAACTACATGGGACGTGGATAATATAAGTCCTAAGAGAAAGACAGGACATGTAAGTGGCCACTATCAGCCCACATGACAGATCACAGAAAACTAAACATTACAAAAAAAACCTCACACAAAGGTCTCCAAAAACAACCCATAGTGCACATAGTAGTGTCCATGTCAGTGATGGCAATTCCTGGCACATGCAGACATGTAGAACTATCAGAAGAAGGGAGCAAAACCTGAAGTAAGTAGGTACCATGGATCTGCAGAAATCACCCAGCCAGGGAGGGAGCAACCAAGGTGGGATCTATCTGACTGACTGCAAAGACTTAGAAGGATTACCTAGAATCCTTTGCTACTAGACTTCAGGGCAGCAGGTGTTGAGGTAGTAGGGAAAGAAAAGGGCAGTGCGAACAATCCAGTCCCAGCAACAACAGCACCTACCCAGGGAACTAGGAAAGGATGTAGTGCCCATGGTCTGGATGGAAGGACAGAGCAGCCCGTAGGGAAAAGCAGAAAGGCAAAGTTGCTACCCAGGTCATGGTGGTAGGTGTGATGGACTTACCCAGAGAAGTTATCAGTGCCAAGTTCTCCAGCATCACATCATGGTACAGGCGTCTCTGAGCTTCATCAAGGAGACCCCATTCCTCCCAGGAGAAGTACACGGCCACATCCTCCAAAGTCACATTGTCCTGTCATGTTGGGGACAGATGAAACCACAGCCTCCCTCCTGAGGACCCACAATCCACTCTCACACATCTACCCCATGCCCATCCCCTTCCCAAGCTCCCCACCTGAGAGGAGAAACCAGGACCTGATGCCATTGGTACTGCTCTTTCCTCATGGTTCTATTAATCAGCGTGCCCAGCTCTCAGCAACTGCAGGCAGGTAGGCAGAGAGACACCATCTACATTCAGGAACTGAATTACAGGGCTGCATCTCTTCCTGCCAGGCAATTTCCCTGGAGTCCTCCATATCATGCCTCACAATAAAATTTGGGGTCACCTACCATCCTTAAGTCTCCAGTACCAGGGCCCAGGACCATCAATTCACACTCCCTCTCTCCACATGCATCTCTCACATCCTCACACCCCATAGTTGCATCCCCACAGCCACTGCCAACTCCCTGCCCCACACCATATGCATCTCCCTGGACTTGCTCCATGCTACTTGGTACATGGCATGCAGAAAGATCTTGGCAATTTCAAATAGGATCCAGTATTACTCCAGACCTCCGATGGATCTCAACACCAGGGATAGCCCTGGATGCCGCTTCGAAGGCCTTCTCAGCCTGTCTCTAATTCTTGCTTCAACATTAGTCTCATGGAACTATATGTGAATTTCCTAGATACACACGACCCTCTCCCACTTCTGTGTGCACTTGCTGTCCCCCAGCAGCCACAACCCTCCTCTTTCCACCTAACCCTCATTCAAAGCTCAGCCAGACTGGTACCCATACCAAGCACAGTGATTCTCACAGATGACCACATTTGCCCCAGACCTTACACACCAGCAAATACCCCAGAACCCACGAAAGCTCACCACAAAATTATAGTAAACCCATCTTATCTCAAGTAGTTCTTTATCTCATGTCCACTCTTCCCTTGGAAGTCTTGGCCACCTGCCAAGACCAGCCTCCCCACATACTCCCTTTGTGGTTATTTCTCTCCTACATCTGTATTTATGATACCCATAACCCCCAAACAGGTACCCGAGCAATAGATCCAGCCCTTGGAACTCTTATTCTTCTTTCTGACCTGCTAATAACATCACTGCCATGAGCTGAATTCTAATTTCTAAATATGATCCACAGCTCCACCCTGGTGCACATACTAGTCACCACTTCCGGATGCCTCCATCCTAAACCCCACTCCAGATTTCCAGACCTGTGTCCAGTGCCCATTTGATGCCACTACTCACTTGGTCTCTGAAGTATCTCAGAATCTTAACATGGCCAAAAACAAAGCTCCTGATATCCCCAATGGGGGATCACTCCTACTACTGATTTTCCCATCTCAGTTGATCTAACTTCCACACTTCCTGCTGCTAAGACCAAACTTTAGTGTCATCTCCGACTCCTTCCTTTCTCTCTCTCATCCTCAAAATCAGCCCTTCTTGAAAAATGGATCCAGAATCCAACCACTTCTCCCACCTCCACAGCCAGCACTCTGGTCCATGAACACTCACCTACACTATCGCAGTAGCCTCTCCCCTGGTCACCCTTCCTCCGCCCTCAATCCCAAAGTCTGTTTTCCACTCTACAACCAGATGGAGATATTTAAACCCAGGTAAGATCATCTCCCTCCTCTGTTCCAAATCTCCATTACGTCCATTATAGTTGCCCAACTTCTCAGGCAGCCATTTCCAAAACTAACTCCAGTCCCCCTGCTCTTTGTTCCTAAGAGTTCCTAAATGCTGTGCCCTGTTCCTGGGATAAGCGTCTACACTTCTTTCCATTGGTGGACAGAAATAAGAACTCCATATAATCCCTGAGTCCGTATAACCTGGAATCTAGATTACCCCCTGCCCTTGGGATCTCTCCCAGATCCCCAAACCAAAAGGGCTGGCAGAAAAGCAGGTGAAGAGTGCCAGGACACCACAATCCCAAAGTTGATACGGGTGGGATCCAAACCAGTGAGGGGAGCGACACCCTCCACTTCACTGTGTAGGTCCCATTAAGTGCTACTTCAGCCTCAGAGGACTACGAACAGAAGCAAGTCAGAGAGGCTGGGGACCATGGTGTATTTCAACAGGCTCGAAGCTCCCCTGTACCTCTACCCAACCCTGGCGGCCAGACCTTGGGCTGAAAGGCTGAATAACCTCTGTATTTCAGTTCTCAGTACTCACTTTTCCCAGTCCTGTGCCTTGGACTCAACCTCCCAGTGCCTCACCGTCCTCATCACTCCCGGTCCAGCCTGTTCTCCCTCTGAGAACCCCTTGGAAACTTTTACAGCCCTAAATCAGACCGTGTCCCTCTTCTCGTCACAACCATCGATGGCTCCCAGGGCCCTCGGGACAGAGGTACCGCCCCTCGGCCCGCCAGTCCAGGCGCGACCCCGCCTCACGCTCTCTGTCCCCTGAGGGCAGCCTCCTCCCGCCTCACGCCCCCTCCAGCCTCTGCCCCGCCGGCCCCTCGGCCCGGAGCCCGCTCCTCACGCCAGCACGCCGGCGCTCGCACACGGGGCCCCCGCCCACCGCCGCCTCCCCGTCCGACACCGGGGCCTGGGCCGCAGGGACGCGAGCAGCTCGGGCCTTCGGGGTCTGGGGGCGGGGGGGACGGCGGGAGGGCCCGGGGGACGAGCGCTTACCTGAGGCGGCTCCCTGGGCGCGGCCGCCGCCATCGGACTCGGTGTGCGGAACGGACACCCGGACCGGCCGTCCCCGTCTCGGACCCCGGCGCGGGGCAGCCCGGGCGGCGTCGCTAGCCGGTGGCCCCAGTCTGTGCGGCAGGGACAGCTCCTCCCCTCGCGCCTTCTCGCTCCCGTCACCACAGTCCCGAACCGGCCTGACGGGGCCGGAACCAACCCAGGAACACCCAAAACCACCGCCACAACGAGAACGCCGGAAGTCCCGCCCGAAGCGCTGTTAAACGCACAGAAGAGCTCTTATCTTGGGCCTTCATTGGCTCAACCCGCAGCTTCTCCGCGCGGCGCCCTCTGGGTAATGTAGTAGAGGCGGTAGAGAGGACGTGCCCCACCAGAACCATCCCAAAGGCTCTGAGGTTCTGTGAGGGTCTAATAACGTTCCGGAGGCTTCCTTAAGGGATTCACGCGGATTTATAGGGGGTGCTGTCTGCAAGTGCTCAAAAGTTCTTAGAAACATGATTTCAGACCCCATGAAGCTCAGCAGGCTCCCAGAGAATAAAAACAGTATTTTTGGTGTCCCCAAAGTCTGATATAAATGGACATATCATTCCATAAAGTCATTTCGACATAAATATACATTCTTAGCTATAAACTAATAAACATCATCTTATTGTTCTTCACATGCATGAAACCTCAAGAGTTAGAAGTGAGTTTTGTGAGTTTTAGTACGTTTGGTCAGGCACAAGAGGAAAAGACTCTAAACAGGTTCATCAGAAGAGGGATGTGGGGGCTGCCCTGAAGCAACTGCACAAGGGTGAAGCTTTGCCTCTGGTTCTCACAGAAAACATCTCTCCCGCCTATATACTGTGATTGTGTCCTACCCATTGAGGAACAGTTTAATCCATAGGCTATTTCTTTCCCCATATTCCAAGATATCCAACTCCTTTTAGAAACCTGACATGTATCTCAAATGGAGAGCAACTAAACAAATGCTGTTTTTTAAAAAATATTTCATTTATTTATTTGAGAGAGAGAGAGAGCACAGAGGGAGAGTGAGAGGGAGTAGCTGACTCCCCGATGAGCAGAGCCTGAGGTGGGGCGTGATCCCAGGACCCTGAGATCATGACCTGAGCCGAAGGCAGATGCTTAACCAACTGAGACACCCAGGTGCCCCAACAAATGCTACTTTGGTATGGGACAGTAGCTGCAGTTTTCACACTTGCAGCACAAATGCAAAAGGAGCATCTGAACCCCAATCCTAAGGGGGTATCTGAATCTCAAGAGGAAGGAAGCACCTGAACTGCATGGTCTCATCAGTTTGCTGGGAAATGATGAACATTTCTGTTACTGAAGGGAAAGTTCTGCAAGGGGAATTCAGATTATCTCAGAAAGACAGTAGTGAAATAAAATGACAGAGTTATTGATAATGTTTATGTAGTTCTTTAAAGATAGTGGCAGGAAGCTCTGGGGAAACATCAGGGAAGGGTGAAAAAATTTAAGACCTCAGTGACTTTGAGAAGTCATTTAGGTATGAGAACATGTGTCTGTGTTGGAAGCTTGGTCACTCTGAAGATATTGTCTTCTTTTTCATTCATGAGCACAGTGAGCAATACCAGCTTGGAGAGAGAGTTGAAGAGGACATTTAGAGTAGCCAGAAGAGTAATCATAAACAGGGAATCTGAGGTGTCATAATTACGCACTGCTCTAACAAGTGTGTATGGAGCACATAAATAAACCACTTAGAAATGTGTCTATTTCTTCCAAGAGTTATGGCAAATACTTAGTAAGCAATGCCAAAAATAGAAGCTAAAAATTACTTAATTCAATGAGAGTATGTAAAAGTGTACAATTTATGTAAGATGAAAGTCATCAAAAAATTTAAAAATAAAAAAGGTAAATTGAGTCTACAAATGTTCTGTGAATCTCAGTGAATTCTAGATTAACATGCTGTTGAAGAACTGCAGTCATTCATGGACAAATAAAGTCCTAACTCATTTCCTTGTGCAGGCACAATTAGGGATTAAGCTGGGTGCATCTCTCAGGGACAGTAATAGGAAAATGCCCACCCCAGTTTTTCTGGCTGGGACTTAAGCAGTTAGACAGACTAAGTTATCACTAATCAAAGGCTGAGAGGGGCGAAAGCTTTAGAAATCCCAACAAATTCAGCAGATCCAAAGCGAGTGCTGAGTTCAGAGTCTATCAAAGCACTTTTACATCTGGTTACATGTCGGGGTCACATGGAACCCATCTACAATTCCTGGTCATTCCTGCTCTCCAACTTTTGCAACCTTTGTATCACTTTTTATTTAACATGACTTCTATTTCTCTAAATAGGAGATGAAGTTTACTTTGCATCGGCCACAGATATTTACTAGAAATCTAATGTCACAGGCACAATAAAAAGAATCCTGAACCCACAAAAAGAGAAGAAGGTGGTTTTCAGTCTCACGCTTATCACTCACTATTTTTAGACATGCTATTAGAGACACCCAAACACAACGTGATTCATAAGATAAAACAAACAACACACACACACTCAGTAAGCTAAAATTTTTAAACTTCCCATGTCCCTGATGCTTCAGCATCCCCACAAACAGGCTGTGAACACCAGGTGACCAATGCACCAGTGTGATAAGGCTGGCCCCTGCCACAAGTGTCCCTTTTTGCTTTCTCCTGTCTCCTGTCTCTGTTGGTCTTTGTTCTGTGTCTCTGTCTCTCTCTGCTCCCCTCCTGCTTGGTTGAACCGGCTTCCTGGGCTCTCCTCCATCTGGCCCCTGAGTTTGCATCTGGC